CTCTATCTTTCAAACAATACAATAGATATATTAAGTTATACTTTAATAACTACTACTCTATTCGTGTTATTCTTATATTAAATTTTTCAATTATATTCGCTATGATTTTCGGGTGAAATAGAGAGACGAAAAAACACTTTTGTTTTTTATACTTATTCGTCAGGAATTTGGGAGAAAATATGAAAGAATTTGTTACATGAAAAACATGTAACAAAAAAGGTATGTGGTAACATAACTTACCAAACTGAACCTGGCCTTTGGCCACTTTGAGTATGCCTTTGACGGTGTGTATTGTGTCAAACTGTGTCTCCAGTTGTGTCGATGAGATTTGTTGGTTCACTACTAAATGTCTGTCCAGAATCTGCTTTTGTGTGTTTGAGGTGAAGATCGTGGTTAAGGCCGGAGAGCGAAGCCATACATAACATGTAACAAAACAACAACAAAATAAACAAATTAATGCTATTATTCAAAAACATAAATCTTCTTAAATGTCAAGAAATTGCATTTTCTCCTTTAAAATCAACTCTAATTGACTTTGAAATATATACTAAACAACAAAATCATAAAAACCTGACTCTGACTTCACTTATCATTATATGTTTGCGATAGGGATTAGACTTATTATGGAAGAGATTCTCTCAATTTCTACTCAATAAATATAATATCTTTTTCTTCATTCATTATTCAGAATTATTTATTATATCATAAATTTTGGTTTTTCTACTTTTCTACAAACACTTATTTCCCAAATATCTATTTTATATTTGTTTTTTATATCAATTTTTACGATTAATTGCATTGATTTAGCCTTTTCTCTCTCAAAGGCAAAATGACTCCTATTTTTGACAATTTGTATATCGTTTACGATTCAGTCGTTTGTCATTTCAAATGAAAGGAAAACAACAAAAATAGTGAATTGAAAGGATAGGCAAAGTATACATACGTTTCTAGTGTTGGCCGGAAATTGTTTCATTTCCAACTGTTTATATTCCGATGGATTCTCTTTCTTGAACTGATCCCAGGCGTCATTGGAGGGCACGAAGTATGTGAACCGTCTGTCCTCTCGAAGAAGCTGTTCGTTCCAGTTCTGGTTTCCCTGTCGTCCCAATTCAAACGTGAAGTTCAGCGACGGATCCGTATTCAGTTTGTCATAGATGTTCTGGAAAGGCATTCCCAGCACCCGATCGATCACGTGAATGATGCCATTCGTGGCTCCGATGTCCGCCTGAACGGCAGTGGCGTTCACTCCTCCGCCCTCTACTGTGAGCCGAGTGTTGGGGTCTTCGCCCACGACTCGGAAGTACAGGTTTCGTCGGCCGTCCGCCGACTGCACTTCCGGCTTAACTCCGTGTCGGATGTCATCCGTGGAGACCGACTGACCGCTAACCATATGCAGTCTCAACAGGTCTCGCAATTTGTCGATATTTTGGATCAAATACTCGAGTTTTGTGTCGTTTTCACTCTCATTCAGATTACTGAAGGCGGCGTCAGTCGGCGCCAAAATGGTCTTCTGGTCGAGTCGACTGATCTCCGACCGGATCTCCGGCACCCGATCCAGCAGTTTGTTGAACATCTTGAGCCGGCCGTCGGCCTCCTGTTGCAGGAAGTCGATGATCGACGTGTCGATAATCATCAGCGGCTTCTCAATCAGATGAATGACACCATTCTTGATGGGAATGTTGGGTCTGAGCACTCGACTCATGACAACACCCTTGTTATGTCTGGGATCGGCTTTAATGGTATTGGACTGAACGTAATACGTTTGCTCCGGATTTATACGGAGGGTTCGGTTGATGAGAGAGAGCTCCACATTGACGGTCGCGTCGTTGGCGGCCGAGCGGTACGACTCCTTTCCCATCACATTCAAGAAGAGGACATTGTTTGGGATCACGTGTCCTAACACTACGTACTTGTCGAAGGCCTCGGGACGCACTTCGCCGATCGGCACGAAGAATGTGTGATATCCGGGTCTCTCGAA